ACATAGATAACGTGTGATTTCATCCATTTTTTTCTCTGTATGTTACATAGATAACGTGTGATTTCATCCATTTTTTTCTTCTGTATGTTACATAGATAACGAGTGATGTCATCCATTTTTTTCTCTGTATGTTACATAGATAACGAGTGATGTCATCCATTTTTTTCTCTGTATGTTACATAGATAACGAGTGATGTCATCCATTTTTTTCTCTGTATGTTACATAGATAACGAGTGATTTCATCCATTTTTTTCTCTGTATGTTACATAGATAACGAGTGATTTCATCCATTTTTTCTCTATGTTACATAGATAACGAGTGATGTCATCCATTTTGTTGTCTGTATGTTACATAGATAACGAGTGATGTCATCCATTTTGTTGTCTGTATTTTACATTGAGTGTTGTAACATTCATTATAAAGAGTTACAAATGATTGATACAAGGTTCTTCCCCACGACGTAACATCGTGTTCATAGGGGATCCACTCATCAGAGCATCCTGGAGTTTGTAAAAAAATAAATAAAAATAAGATTAATGAATTTCTCAGTTCGAGTATAGTGGCTGTTGCTCTATGTACAAGTTGAAAGTGTTTAAGCATCGCTATCTAGCATAACTATAGTCTGTATGGCGTAAAACAGGTGAATCTTTCATCATTTAGGTAATCTTGAGCGATAAAACCGGCCGGCTTGGCCTAGTAGTTAGCGTGTTGGGCTTCGTAACATTAGGTCCAAAGTTTGAGAGGTGGTGCTGCTGAGCACGCTTGTCACTTTCAGCTGTGGGCTTGTTATAAAAGTGTCTGTCAATCCTGTTATTCGTGCGTTGCTAACTTGCTGCTTTCCCTTTAGTCAGTAGTTTAAAAATGAAGCCTTGTCTGAGCCCTAGTGATCCCAATACTTAACTTAAAATATCTTTGGTTGAAAAATTATACTAGTCCGTTCTGAAATGATATACTTATCGTTAACAGCATAGAACACCTGAAACAAAAATTCAATTTACACTTTAGATGTATAAATAGTGCAACGACGAAAATTATTTTGTTTAAAATTTTAGTAAAGCAACTTATGTTAATATGCGTGTTTTTCTTATAGCAAAGCTACATCGGGCTGTGTTCATCGAGAGGTATGGAACCTCTGAATTTAGCGTTGTAACTCCGTAGACTGACCGCTGTCCCACCGGGGGACATTTGTGTTAATAACAAAGTGTGGTCGTTGGATGTATAATATCTAGAGTGTTTTGATTAGACACTGTTTATCGGAAGTAAGGTCAGGTGGTTATGTCAAGTATTTTTCTGTATATATTCTCACGGAAATCGATGCATGTTTCATCAAAAATTCCGAATACCTTCTTACCATTACTACACTGTTTGTCTTCTTACGTACGGTTTTCGATATGATCGGGATACAACCAATATAGGGTAAACATATAAAATGAATATAGCAAATCTTTTTGAACTTCTGTTTTGTTGGGTTTTTCTTTTCTTTTTTTTTATAAATTTAGTGCAAACGCTCGGATTGTGAAGCAAAAACTCCCATCTAAAACTTAAAAGTTAACTGTGCTTTAAGGTAATTTAGTGAAAGATTAAAATACCTTGATGAAATTCTTGACAATATGGTATTATATACACTTCTACGATGTTGTCATTATTTTAAATAATGATAACCCGTCTTAAGTTGAAAAAAAAAATGAAGTAGAACTGTATTGTCAAAATTCAGAATATTCTTCGGATAATATAATTATTTTCTTCGTAGTTTGTGACTTCGCATATTTTATTGTCAAACGAATATATGTTTATCGGAAGTAACGTAATGTAGAGTAATGTCGTTAATTCCTTTCCGAGACCATCACTACGATACATAAATCATTTTATGTTGAAAAACCATGCTTACAGAAAAAAATATATAGCACTCTTTAATAATTTGTATTTCCAGGTTATAAATTTGAAAATCCGGATACAATTAATGAAAGATTGGAAGCAGGCATATGGTGAGTAAAAACACTTCATTAAAGCTAAGCGTGTGTGTGTGTGTGGATAAAAATAATTGGTTGGTTGGTTGATATACTGTTATGCTAAAAGCTACACAATGAGCTATCTGTGCTTTTCCCACCACGGGTATCGAAACCAGATTTTTAGTGTTGTAAGCACACAGACCTGCCACTGGGGGCAGAATAGAAAGAAATATACAGAAATAGGAAATTATTAAACTAAAAATTACACTGCTGGCCGAAATTATAAGATAGATTGAAAGTAATCAAATGATATGTTTAGGTTAATTATTTCACAATTTCCAATTCTTAATTTACATTAAAGGTAAACGTTTTGGTGAATTTTGTGTACAAAGATACTTAGTCTTACGAGGAGAAAACAAAGCAATGCAAACGTAGTTGTGGTAGAAAACCAAAAATAACACATGTGATGACGTGCTATTACAAGTGAAAAAAAAACATGCAAGTTGTCATTGTATGGGGACAATAGGGTTGTTACAAAGCTTTTAGTTTCAGGTACTCGTTTAGATTTTGAAAACTTTACAAGTCGCCCGAGTACATGAGTTGCTTTATTAAGTAAATAGTAATTTTGTATAGGGCACGACTGTTTCAATATTTCGTGTTAGGAAGTCAATACTGAGAGAAAAGCACGTGCTAAATTACCAGTAACGTTTTCTTTGACTTCAACGACTACAGGTGGTAAAGTTAGCACACTGTCCCGTGAATATGGAAATTTTCTTAACGAAGAAAAAAAAAAATCTAAAACTGGGCGGGATTCGAACCCGAAATTTTGCTTCTTGTCACGCTTTAACACTTCAAGCTGCAGAGTGTTGTATCATATAACGGTTTTGGATGAATTCCCACACACATAAATAAGAAATAATTTACATAATGTTACATATTAAAATTATGTTTTTAGCTAAAATCCATGAAATTTGTTTGGGCAAATATATTACTCTTTTAACGCCATAAATTGTTTTACACGTACTGATCTGCAGTGGTTTAACTTCAGCGTGGAATTTTAGGTTTAAATATTGGTGACCTAGCTGTTAAAAGTATAAAAGATGGATAAACTTATAATAATTCTTTATATACACATATTTGTTTACCAAAACTTTTTGCAATATGAAATACCAGTTTAAAGCCAAGCACAGCCCGGTTGAGCCAGACTACGTATTGGGGGTTCCGTGGTTCGCGTTACGCTTTTGTAGGGTCTTAGGTGTTATAAGAGTGACGATCAATTCCACTTTTCGATTAGCGTATCCCAGGAGTTGGCGGTGGGTGGTGTTAAATAGCTGCCTTTTTTAAGTCTATTTCTTCAAAATTAGGGACGACTAGCGCAGGTAACCCTCGAGTAGCTTTGTACAAAATTCAAGAACAGTAACAACAATACTGGTCAGTAAGTACCAGTAACAACAGTATTGGTCAGTAAGTACCAGTTAGTTAACCTAATTCTTAATATAATAAAATCTGTGCTTGCCAAATAAACAGAAACATTATTGTATTACACACGCATTGTCTTTTGTGTAATGATAGTTAATATCCTCTCAGAATGTTTTTAAGGCTTTTAGTTTCCAGAACTGGTTTTTAAACAAGATAATGAAGTAAAATGTCAAATGTATTATAGTAATAAACCAACAAATTACTATTTCAAGAATTCTATATGTGTAGATCTAGATGTCGCCGTGAAATACACTAGAAAATCTTCCTTTTATGTGTATATTAAGACACACACGGTAGTCTTTAATTATTGCTAAAAGTATAAGAATGTTTACCATTAAGGGGACCGTTCTTGAAATTCTTGTAATCAAATGCCTAAGAAAGAGTTAATGAGTCTATTTGACAAAGTACTATCATTTCTTGGTTTAAAAGGCTTTTAAATCTTCGTATTTGGTATGGGCCAACTTTACTTCAATAAGCTCAACCGGCCTTCTTTCTCGTCAGGACGTTTATCTGAACGTTCACCTGCTCATTTTTTAAAATTTTTTTGCGCATGTGCAGGTTCTTGTCCTCCGTCAAGGTCAGGATTGTGCAAAAGTAAATTTACAGACTCGGTTGAACCTGTTGTAATAATAAGAATGATTTTTTTTAACTGTTCAAGAGTAAACCAAACTATTAGTCTCGTCTATTCCGTTTTATTATTTTCTCACGAACATACGACATGGTGTATTAGACCCAGCAGGGCACGGTTAACAGTCATAAGTGAATTCACTCCTCCCTATTTAGAATTTAATATGTATTTAAAAAACACAATCAAACAATATTTAATAACTCATCAGGTTCGTCTCGTAATATTTTGTATAATAATTCAATTTATTAAGATATTATACTATGTTGGTAAAAACACGCATGGATTAATTAACTGTTATGATTATAATCATGAAGCTAATGGCTTTGTATCGTTTATCCTAATTGTTTTATACTAAGCAAATACGGTGACAAAATAACAAGTATAATGCGCAAAGCACTATCTTTGATTTATTGTTGGATGTATAGGCCATAGAATTCCGAAATTAAATGGCAATCAAGTATCTATTAAACGTCTTAAGTTTAGAATTCATCGCGTGAGAAGGACATAACTTTAATTATTTTTAGATTACATTGTGCCACGTTCCTGAAATGTACAATGATTATTTAATCATATTTTTATTAATAAATTATAAAATAAAAAAAAAAACGCATTTGAAAACCCAGTTGTGACATTTTCACTTTAGGTTACAAAATGGCATAAACTTTTAAAGGAAAGAATGCATTTCTCTAACAAATCAATCGAGGGTCATGAAATTCGGTTTCTTCTCTTTTATAAATCCAAACAGTCAAAATAGTTATAATAACATGATACGTGCGTACATGTATTGTATTTTACGTTTCGTGTTTCTTTCCCAGAGTATTCTAAAGAATATCCTTTACCTTTTTTTCGTCCCGTTGAATAAATTCCTTCCTTAATGTCTTTACAGCAGCAAGAATGAAGTAGTCGATAGCAATACAGTAGTAAGAGCACGCGGGTTGCCGTGGCAGTCGTCTGATCAGGACATAGCTCGATTTTTTAGAGGCTTGAACATAGTCAAGTAAGTGATAAAACTTAATGTCTAGAAACAAGTAGATAATATATATATATATATATATATATATATATATAT